TGCTGCATTTAAGTATTGCATTAATATTTGAGCTTACCTTTCAAAAATTCAACAATATTTTGCCGACACTTAATTTAAAAGACAATTTGATGTAGATAGGTGCTTATTTTCCATACAAAAAATTATTTTTATGTTGTGTGACTTTCACTGGATTTTGCCATTAATTTGAATTATTCCCAAATTTATTTCTAAGTTATAAAAATTGTCATCATACAAAAAAATTAATCACAAAAAATCACGTTAAAAAAAAAAAAAATCAAAAACAATCACAGTTTTTATTAAACTTGGGAATCTAAAATTTAGTTAGGCTGATTCCAAAATAGTATATGTTGGAGTAAAATGAAAAATGTGTGACACACTGACATTCACATTTATTATATAGAAGATGAGCTATAGAGTGGTGTGTTCCTTTAATTGAAAAGGGTAACACACTGACATTGGCATTTATTACACATATAATACACTATTCTTTTAAAAGTTTAAAAAATTTGACAGTTTTGATTTCAGTAAGAAAAAAAGAATAGATATGATTATATTGAGTTAAGAATATTTCCCATATTAAGCTGATTGTTTTTTTTTCTTGTCTAACTAGTACAAGAAAATGTATCTGGTCATCCTATAAGTAATATCTAAAAATCTGATACAAGATTTTCGCCTTACTCCACATAGAAAATATGAAATAAACTGGCTCACCAGGTAATCTGGCTTTATAATACAAGTAATGGCTAATCCAGATTAATATTTTTGAGTCATAAACAGCTTTTAAAATATTGTTTGATTTTTTTTTTCTGTCATCTTTTTTAAAATCAGTCACTTTTGTTGAAATGCTTTAATTTTCAAGTAAAAATTTGCATTTTCTGTGGTGATTTTCTAAGTGCAGCTCAGATGTGGTGCAAGGCTGAAATCTTAGGGTAATCCAGTGAGGATTGAACTCGCTGTTCAGTCATAATTGGTCTAGTGAGGTAAGCTATGTTGAAATGCCTAATTTGCTTTTTCTATGATGTATAGGAAGTAAATCTCATAAAGAGAAAAAATTAAAATAATCATATTTACATACATAATAAATAGTAGTTATGATTAGTTTTAATCACTATTTTGGTTAATTCAGATTAATTCCATTTGTTTGTTTTTTGTTTTTAAGGATTACTTAATGTGTTCCAGTGAACCTCAACAACAATTTCATAATTTGTGTCATGTTTTTAGAATCCAGAATTCATTACTTCCTATGAAGAATGGCTGGTTCTCTTTTGGCTTACAAAGAACATACAAGCACTGATGGGAAAAAATATGCGCATGAGAGGGCAAGTGATTGACAATAGAATGAAGGTTTGACATTTCAAAATATAACAGACTCTTGAGAAAGGTCAGAGTAAAGTACCTGAATCTGATTAAGAAAAAGAGAAACAACAAAGGCAAGGAAATTGATAGCTATGACCCAAAATACAAAGATTAAAATCTCATTTGTAAAACAATTCAAACAAGAATTACAACTTTATCATATACTCTTATAGTTTATACAAGTTTGGTTAAAGATCCACAAAAGTTCTTTAAGGATTTTTTGTTTATTTTTTTCTATATTTTAGACTATTTTCTTGGTTTCTGGTGACAGTTTATATATAAATTATCTAATACCTGAGTACTTCAGTTTTCATAATCTATTAGAAAAACCAACATCACATAAAGATGCGATACTTGAAAAATAATTAAATTGACAGTATGCAAGCAAAAATTCTTTGGTAAATGTTTATGAAAGCTGAAAATACTCTGACATCAGAGAATTTATTTTCATTGGAAACCAAGAAAATTTGTTGGTCTTTAACCAAACTTATATAAATAAAAAATATTTATGAGGATAATCATATTTTTCTCTGCCCACCCCATGTAATTTAATTTAAATTTGTTTTACATCCTTGCAATAACAGAAAATGAAGACATTAATACACATTAATTATCTTTTAAAGATTACATTCTTTACTTCACATCATTAAATTTATGATTAACTTTATAGAACTATTTCTTTATTCTACCTAAAGAGAATTTGTGACAGTTCCTGACGAACAAATTTAATGTAGAAGTGTTACCTGCAATTTTTTCAGGTAGCCATTCTATATATGGCTATGGATAAATATTTACCACGGTTTAACTGTGTGAATTAATTTTAATCAATTGTTTTAATGTTTAAATAATGTTGATTGTTGTAATACAAAGAAATCAAATTATAATAAATCATTTCATCATAAGTTCCTGATGTTGACATTTTTTTTATTTCAAAGCACATAAACTAATAAAGAATAACAGGAAAATAATAAATGAAGCTAAATTTAATTTACTGAAACTGACACTTAATAAAAGTCAATAGTACTTTATTCAATCAAACTGTACATAGATATAAGAATAAAAACAGAAACATTTCATTGTGTTAAATGTATGAACTAAGAAATCTCTTATACTACAATAGTAATTAATGGTGGATTCAAGCTTCTTTCTCCTCTGCTATGAGTTAAATAGCAGGGTAAACTGGGCTCTTTAGCCTTGAACTATTCAGAATTTAAAATTGAAGTCAAGAGGAAACCACTCTACTATATTTCCCAAAAAGACCCGGCAATTCACAAATAATACTCTTCTTTTGATGCCATGTCCATAAATTCATTTTAATTCTGATTTCTGTTAAAGGGAGGTCACTCAATTTGCATCAAATTCACAACAATAAGACCAAGCCCACAATATCAATATTGTCAATTACCTGTTGATATGATCCTCATGTTCCTAATACGAAGACACATCGTTAGTGCAGTAAATATAAAATACATTTCAAATATATTATTTGCATATTTTTATAGAGAATCAAACTTATGTCTATCTAAAACAGACAGTATGTACACAAAAATGTTCCCAAATCAACACAATAAAACCAACAGACATAGTGTCTGCTGGACCCACGTTTACAAAGTGACTGACCAACGAAAATCAAACAAACTAAAGTTAAAACACCATAACATCTACTAGATATATACACACACACACACACACACAATTACAAATACACATTATCATCTGATGCCCACATAGACAAAATTTTTTACAAACTTACAAGCATATAGAATTATTTGCAATTAATGCTGTGTTTTTTATAAATTTATTGGGAATAATATGAACATTCTGCCTGATTATGTTGTAACAAAAGCTTGATTTGAGTTGTCAGGATAATAACAGGGTTTTTGCAAGACTTCCTGCATATAGTAGTTATATGAGTAAACAAACCCCAGATATGACTATTCAAAAAATTTAAAGGACTGCAGATGATAGGTAGAAATATCTATTGGTGTCTGTTAGGGAAAGATAACTTAATTCCCCTATAAAGGATGATAACTCAACATACATCTGAGTTACTTCCCTGTCTGCTAATGGGAGTGCAGCACTTCTGATTTCAAAATTTTGACACACATGTGGAATTCATGGTTTAAATCCAAACTCATCCTTGCTGTTCTCAGGCAGCATATGAATAAAAGTTGTTTAATTATATGTTAAAATACACTTTTGTTCATCCCAACAACCTGAGATATAACAGTTTTATTCATTTATAATCAACAATTATTGATTTTCATCCTGTGGAGTCTAGTGAGAGTTTAAAAATCCGTATGCCAGATGGTCCAAAATAGATGTTACATTAGGACAACCTCCCAACCAATGATAATCACTTGCAAGAGCAAATGAAAGGGAGTAGCAACCCCCTCCTCTCCTTATTTTCTCTCTTCTGATTTTAATCAGGTAGTCAGTGGAGGCAGATGTTATGCCAAGAACTCCAGATGCAACTAACATAGGTTACTTTCCAGTTATGGACTCTATATACAAACCACAAATGTACATTTCTTTCTCATTCTGTTCTCATGAAGTTGTTTCATACACTAAAGAATGGTTTGGTATTATTTATTTGTTGTTATCCAGTTTGTATGACTTATCTCTGGCTTTTTTTTTTCTTTTAACTTACTTCCCAAATTCTCTTACAACAATCTTAGGGCTAGGGAAGTACTGTAAGGTATACAGTGACTTTCTCTCTGAATGATTACATGGCCTAGTCTCAATGTTGTTTTGGAAATTGCCTTTTTGTTTTATCTGCATCAAGTTCTGATTGGAACCACTTCAAATAGTAAAGATCCTCTTTTGGAGTGATAGTTTTGATTCTAAATTGTGGTTGTGTTGTACAGAGGCTCACTACTCTTATAAAAAAATAAGAATCAGAATCTTGGAAAAACTGAAAAAAATTTATGAATAGATTGTGTGTTTAAAGAGTCATTGGCAGAATTGTTTCAAATATACATACTCAATAAATTGATAACATTGAAAGGATATCTTTCTTTATTTCACACTTTTCAATAACACAACTTACAAATATGTAGAAAACAGCAAACTTTCTCTATTAATGGGTTTAATAGAGGAAAAATAGCAGTTCAAATGATTCAATCCCAAATAAACAAATGCAGTTTTTAATATTTTACAATAAAAAAACACTATGCATGAAGCATTGCGTAAATATAAACAACATTAAAACTACAGAGAATATATTTGAAAAAAATAAAATATAAAGGAAAAATGTAAAAATTTTAAAATAAAAAAAGTACAAACTTTGGTTCACTGATGTATATATAAAAAAAATAAATTCTTGGATAATTGTTTCCAAAATAGATAAAAAAAACAAATAAAGCAAAACCTTTGTTGAATCCCTAAACACCAGATTCTTGATTCTCACTTCTTGATGAAAGAGTTATTTTTACCAATTTAATCAATGTTTTCATTTGAACCACAAATTTAACAGCAATCATTTATTTATCATTATTTGACTTTTTCTCAAGAATATCACTCCACTTTCCTACAACTCTATTGATATTTTATTTATTTTGTTTTAATTAATTCAAAAACAAAATTCTATCTTCTATTAATTCTCTGACTGATCCAAATCCATTGTAAAACTTTTATCAGTTGGTATTATCTTCATTTGTCTGTTATAAGCTTGCCTTTGATTCTTGTTCCTTTAACTTCATATAAAAACCATATTTTCTGTTTGAAAGATTATTTGGAGTGTCAAATTCTTTTTTTTCTCCCTTGTCCATCACCAAAATTCTGTAAAAAGAAATCAGTGCATCTACTTTTCTGCAGGTAAAAATTTAATTATTGCAATAACATATTAATAAAAGAGCAAGAAAGAAAAAATATATAATTACCATAAATAGATAAATAAAAAAGGGAAAGAAAAGAACTGCAGAAGGTGTGGTTATTACATCTGAATGTTGTCAGTTTTTAATAGTGTATAATTGTTGAAACCTGATGAGTGAATTGAATGATTACAGAAAAGTTCATCTACAAAACTCTGGAATTGATCTGCTGAATATAACATTAATCAGCTAAGTAACAAATTTTATTCATATTATATATATATATATATATATATATATATATATATATATATATATATATATATATTGTGATGAGAATATCTATGACAAACAAAGAAAGAGTCTTAAAAACGCTCTACAATGGCAAAAAAAAAAAAAGAAAAACGGTTAGAAGACACTCAGCAAAACAAAGAAGATAGATTGCAACTAACGGACAGAAAGCTAAATAAAAAAAAATATAATCTTCTTTTGTAGAATATTGCCTTCTACATTGAAATGTCTGAGATATCGCTCTCTATAACTTTCTTCTTTATGTGAACATTAATTCATTAGAACATTGAATTTAAAAACATTTTATTCCATCACACCTCAAAACTATCTCCACTCTTAAATCTATTTCCCTCAAGTTACAAATTAAATTGTTTTCTTATTGTTACGATTGTCTTATCTTCATCATTTATTTGGATAAATCATTGCTACCTTTATTTTGCTGCTTTCTTTCTGTTAACCAAATTTTGTCTGAACCCATGTTTATACCGGAACCACATCCCTGAGCCAACCTGGGTATAGAATATCTGATGTAAATATAAATTTTTTATGACACAGCAGCCAAGGTCATCAGAGAAAATTCGATTATACTTCAAAGCTTCGCCCTGCTTGTGACAATACAAACACACACACACACACACATATATATATATATATATATATATAATAAGAAATTAATGGATGTTTTAAATTCACCATATTTATTACTACAGGTTGATTGAAAAGTAACTATTTTATGTATGAGTGGTTAGCCAGGAGTCCTGACTTTAACACCCTGTGATTTTTTCTTTGGAATTGGTTAAAGGAGCAAGTCTACTATACCAAACCAAGACTTTGGAAGAACTTAAAGGGCAAATACAAGAAGTTATATATTCCATACCACAAGAGTTCCTGGTGAAATCGATGGGATTCCTGTGCAGCTTGAGAAGCTGGTAGTGAAATCTGGTGCCCATATCAAGTTTTAAATAAAACCTCATGCTGAACATATCCATTTCTTATAAAAATTATAGTCAATAAATAAATTATAAGTATTTTAAAATGGGAAGTTACTTTTCAGTCACCCTGTATAAACATATTTAGTGGATACATGTGTCTGAGTTGACATTGTTGTTTTTTAAGCAATGATATTAACATCAATCAGCCACAACTGACAAATGAACAAACAATTAAGCAATTTTTTAACAACTTCTCAAACTTTTTGAGTTATTTAAGGCTGAAACATATTTTAGATCATTAAAATTAGTATAACATGCAAAAAACTGCTAATTTTCTCTATTAGAGAAGAAAATATGAATGATTTTAATAGAAGACAAATAACAGTTATTTATATTCAGTTCAAATGATTCAGCTCTAAGAAGGTTGAGAAGTAATACTAAAGAAAATGTGCCTCCCAACAGGAACTGAAACTTTTTTCATGTCAAAGAAACTACTTTTGAATTAAGTATGCCTTTCAAGAAGAATGTCTACGACAAGCCATTTTCCAATCAGGTCATGATCTCTAGGTTAGTTGAAATTAATTTCAGTGCTTAAAACAAACATTTGTACCCACTAAATATAATTGTTATAGATTTTATATAAATATATAAAACATATTGTCTTGATTCTTTCCCCCTATTTTATTCATGATGAACACCTTTTCCTTTTCTAGTCCTCAAACGAACTCTGAAAATGGAGAATAATAACCAGCCAACTTTTTTTACTTTTCCTTTTAACTCTACTATAATTATATATCAATCATTAAAACAGAGATAAAAACATTAGCCATAATTAACATTGTAATAGAACTTTTAAAAGCTTTTCTGGTTTTAAGTCATTGTACAGCCCATGAGTATAATAATAAAAACTGTCCAATTGTTCTTTTTATCCAAGTGCTTTCAGCTATACATTTAACCATTTTCACGGTTGAAATATATTGACTGTTAACAAGAAATAGATTGAAATGAATAAATATAAACAGTTTTTATATAATTTATCATCTGAATAGAAAAAAAATTATTAGATCACATGAGAAATTGTATAAAAAACTAAATCAAAGCACCTTGTCTGTCATATTCAATGAAATGTACATGAAAGAAGGATTGCTGCCTAAATACACAAATTTTAAATATATATATATATATATATATATATATATATATATATATATATATAGTGGGGTTAAAAATGCTTGAAATGAATACTAATTTGAGCAATTTATACGCACACTAGGTTCATGAAAAGAAAGCTCTTGTTCACATACAAGAAAAATACAATAAAAAAACTTAACAGAAATACCTTGTGAGTCATTTTAATGAAACATGTATTAGAGAAAGATTGCTACGTTAAAACATTTGTCTATATATATATATATATATATATATATATATATATATATATATATATATATATATATATAGTAATCTGACAGATTTTTAATCACTTGAAATGTTATTTTTCATGGATACTCATATTTGAGTAGACTGGCCTGAATGTTCAAGAAATCTTATTAAAAAAATTTTATTAAAGAGAATGTAAATTTTTCTTTCATAAGATTTCTCGTACATTCAGGCTGGTATATGGAAATAAATATGCTGTTTAATAAATAAATGGAGTGTCTACTCAAATATGAGTATCCACTAAAAATAATGTTAAAAATATATATATATATATATATATATATATATATATATATATATATATATATATATATATATATAACCATACCATCCACCATATATATCCACCATTTCTTTTTGTCTTTTGAAACCTGTTCTTTATTGGCCTATTTCATTCACTCTTACAAACCCCCTTATGGGTACACATTGTGTTTTATCTATATAGGAACAATAATGTAGGTGAGTATAAAGTTAGGGACTTATTTAGTTTTTAAGTAGCAATGAAACTGATATGAAATATTGAAATAAACAATACTGTATTGTACTTACTTGTCATATTTCTCTGTCATTGATAACTTGTGTACAATACTTAATACAGTACAATCACTGAATTTCTCTTCGATAATTTGCTGGATCTGTTCATCTAAAGTTGCACATACATTAGCAGTGTATTCATCCAAGATTAACACTTTTGTTTTATTCAGAATGCATTTAGCCAAACCCACCAATTGTTTATCTCCAACACTGAAATAGATAAAGACATGATACTTTTTTCTCTTTTTTTTTTAAAGTAATGCAAAAAAGAAAGTGAATAAGAATTTAGGGCCAGAATGTAGACAAGAAAAATTGAGAATTTCATAGATTTTATAGCAAGTTGGCATATTTGAATCATTTGCCTATTGCAGATTTATAAATTAATATATAGAAATGTAGTCTTTCTGTGGGTTTAATTTGATTAGTTTCTATACCTATATTGACTAAAGATAAATATATTATTTATATCTACTTTATAAAACATTCCTTTCAAATTTAACTACCATTTACTTCCCTATATAAGACAACTTTTAAATCTCAAATATCACTCTTAAAATATGGGGTTCATTTTATACTACAGTTATAAAAAAGAAACCTGAAATTCTGAGTGATATTTGTTGGTACGCTAACCTCAGCCTTGGTGCAATAACCAATAATATACATGAAAAGATTCATATTATCAAATAATAATAAAAATAATAAAAGTAATAAAACCTTATATATAACTGGCATAACTTAATAATTTAGGGGACATGTGTAGGAAAAACATGATATAGAATCAGTTTTGTTATTTTATTTATTTTGAATTTTGAATTTCTAATAATATAGTAAGTAGCAACATTTTGAATAACATCATCTTTATATAATCAATAAGCAGTCATCTTATACTACAGGTGTAATATAAGTTCATGAAAATTTGCTATATTTTTTATCAACAAAGATTATCTAAAAGTTGCCTTATATACAGAAATATACAGTATATGATTCCAGGACACCTTGAGGTGGTGTAATGGTTAGCAAGTTTGTCTCGCTAGAACAATTACGAATGAGTAGTGTGTTTGATCCTCACTGGGTGCCCCTTATTTTCGGCCTTGTGCCACATCCAAGCTACGCTTGGAAAATCACTACAGTATATGATTCCATCCTAATAAGATGATGGAAAATAACTTTGTACTATGTGTTTAAGAGTTGCTGCCCCTGATATTTTTATTAGTGACAGTGTTATTTAGCTTTCAAGTAGTAGTATTGGAAAAACGAGATACAACAACATCCTACTCACAAAACAGTTTAAAGCATCAACCAATTGATTAACAAGTGGTTGATGCTGCTTATTTCTGTAAATCATAAAATCAACTTAGATTTACAATTATATATGTATTGAAAGGAGAACGAACGGAGAAGTGAAGTAGATAAATTTCAAGCAGTACAAATCATGTCGTTCTATATTAGACGGCCAAGTCATATTGTAGTGAAGGGACAGTACTGGAGGCCGATGACAGCAGCGGCGCGTTTCAATTTCAGTTTTGAGCTAGCTGTTCTGCCAGTGTTGTTGGCTTAAGTACGTAATTCAAAGAAATATTTTCTTATTTTTGGAATATTTACCTTATTTAATTGAAGTAAGTATTTATTTTGAGTTGCTATATTATTTTTTATGGGTAATTTGTATTTTTTTAAACGTTAAGTTATTTTAATTTCAAGTTTTAAAAAAATCTACCTTTTGTAAATGTAAAATTATAGAAGCAAATGTAATATTTTTGTTGTACTACAAAAAAAAAATGAATGAAAAACATTAAAAGGATGTTTTTAAATAAATTTAAGGAATAAAATTCTAAAAATTTAATTCAATATTTATTTTTTACATTGTAAAAAGAAAAACGCTGTAAGTGTGAATAAACGAAATTAACCCTGCTGCTCTGTTATTTTAACACGGTCTTAAAGTTTTTAAGAAGTATGGTAAAAAAAAGGTTACTGACTCAACATTTTTTTTGTTAAGTTTAATTTTTTTTTTCTGTTAAAAAGTTTATTCAATGTTCTTGAAAAAAGCAAAGAATTACGCTTCAAAAACGAATTCTCTTTTTAACGCCCAGTATATTTGTTTCTAAAAGTTAAAAAAAATATTATAATTCTTTTTTTTTTTACCACATTTTCTTTTATTGGCTGAGTGAACTGTAATGATCTACTTAAAATTAAAGAAAAACATGACCTTAATAAATAATGATAAAAAGTTAACACTCAAACAGTGTTAATCATTTAACGTACGTTCAAAAATAAATTAGACATTATTAACTAACACTAACACTAATGTCTAATTTATTTTTAACAGACGTACATCTTTTCGAAGACGCTTTTCTACGTATGTTTTTAAATTTTATACTTCGAAATGTATTACAAAGTTACTTTAATATTTATTCTCTATTGTTTTGTTATTATTCACAGGTAAAATAAAGTTTAATTAAAAAAAACTTCATTAAAGCGTAAAATAGAAACAAATGTCATATTCTTATTACAAAATTAATGAAAGCCATTATTATTATTATTATTATTATTATTATTAAGAATGTTTTTATTTTACGTAAATTTAAAATTTTAAATCTCAATAAAATATAATAATTCAATAGTCTAAAGACGCGGTAGGAGCGGATCTCGTTTTTTTTCGGCGGTTGGGGCCGTTTTTTGGTGCATTCAACGCGCCTAGTCTTAGTGGGGACTGGAATGCCATCCTGACCCAAGTTAGACAAAAAAAATAGGGAGAGGGGCGATCGCAGCCTGGTCGATCTGATCGACGATTATGGTCTCGTCGATAGATACCAGGTCGATCATCCCGAGGAAAAAAATGGACGTGGGCTCTAATTGGCCTTTTTACAAGGTGGTTAGCTACCTTGACAGAATGTTAGTGAGAAGAGCCGACACAGAACTACTAGATTGCCCTACGTTCCACTGGGTAGGTTATTCGGATCACAAACTCGTTTGCAACGGTAGCGTTAGACAATAGGCCTAGAATGGCTGGGTACTGGAAGTTCAATCTGTCTTTACTGGACAGGCGGGACTTTCAGGAGCAGATAATTAGACTAGTGCAGCAGGAGCCTAGTGGGACGGTTATGGGGAATAGATGGTAGGAACGCCTTAAATGTAGGATTAGGTCCTTCACCACTGATTTCAGCAAACGGCTCGCTCTAGATAGAGCTGAAAAGGTGAAGACGCTTAAAGCTAGTTATTCCGGGCGGTATTGGGGGATTTTAGAGATAGCATTTAGCTAAGGAGGCCCTGGATCGTTTCGAATAGCGAGCGGTACATGGGTCAGGTAATTAGACATAAGTTAGCAAGATGTCTTCCAAAGCGCAGATCTATTCGTGAAGTCAAATCCCCGGAGGGGCATCTTTTCGGGCCACTGACGACATAGGAGCCCGGCGCCATTTCGAGAACCGGTTTACTAAGGAGCCTGGTAGAAAATGAGGAGGAGTTTCTAGCTATTTGCTGACTTTCCTCGGCTTTCGCCTGACTGAATTAGCTGCGAGGGAGAGATTACGGAGGGCGAAGTCTACGGGTTTTGAAGAAGGTCGGCAGAGGCAAGTCGCCAGGGTCTGGATGGTTTGCCCTATGAATTGTTTCCCTGAGGCTGTCGCACACCTTTGTTCCAATTTTGACTGTGGTGTTCAACAACTGGTTTCTGGTCAGGGGTCCATCCCCAACCGGATAACCAGGGGTGTGATATTCTGTTGAAAAAAAGGGCAAAGGTGGTGGGGAGAAACCTAGATGATTATAGGCCCATAACTCTGCTAAACACAGAGTTAAAGATTATGGCCAAGATCCTGCAGGAGCGTTTGCAGTCAGTTGCCGATTCTGTTTTGGGACCTGAGCAGACTTGTTCTGTGAGGGCTGAACAACCAGGGTTAACCTGCATCTGATCCGCACGATCATAGAGGGTGTAAAAGACTAATTATGTTACCGATGATCAATTTGGATCAGTCCAAGGCATTTGATAGGGTTGACCATCGCTACCTTGCTGCTGTCCTGCAGGCCGCCTGGATTCGAAACCCAACTTCTGCCGCTGGATTAGCCTCCTGTATCGCTCCCCCCAGTGTTGTGGTACAGGTGAACGGAAGGTTGTCGGACGCGTTTCATGCTGTCTAGGTCGGTTCGTCAGGGTTGTCCCTGTCGCCTCTCCTTTATGCTTTGGCGTTGGAGCCTCTCCTTCGCCGGCTGAGGGACAGACCAGCAGTCTGGCCCTACGTGGAATTGCCGTTCCTGGAGGGAAAAGCCAGGGTTTCCACGTACGCCGATGACGTATCTGCTTTCGTGTCATCCCGCAATGACATTGAGGCGGTACAGAAGGCCATTTGATCGGTACGAGAAGGTGACAGGGGCCAAAATAAACCGCGACAAGTCGTTGGCTTGCAGTTAGGTGCCTGGAAGGGGTCGATCTTCCGGGGCATTTTGTTGGACAGATGGTCCTGTCCGCATTCTTGGAGTGTGGTTTGGACCTGACCTCCAGCTTGAGAAGAATTGGTCTGAAGTACGAGCAAAGGTCGATTCGGATTTTTGGTCAGACTTGGAATCGACAGAGGTTGTCCGTGAAGGGCAGGGCGGAGGTGTGTGTTGCATACATTTTCCCCTGATTCTTTATCGATTGTCCGTACTTTTCTTTGTAAGACCCACAAGAAGACGCCGAGTGCTCGCTATCCTCCATTTTATGGAAGGGACGCGAATCGGGTCGACAGACGAGTCTGCACTAAACGTCCCGGTCATGGGGGGCTGGAATGCCGCACCTGCCAAGTCACATCCGCGCCTCTAGGTTGGCTTTCCTACGCGCGCATTGACTGGAGGAGATCCGATTCTGGAGGGGATTGTTAGGGACGCGTTCCTCGGCCTTACCATCAGTCCCCCCATCTCGCGGGTTGAGTGCGGTCGTAAACCCGGGATCAATCGGTTTTCCTTCGCGAGTGTCGGTTGGCCTTGAGGGCCGTTCCTCAGTCCAGTGACCTTTCTCGGCCTAGGGAAGGTCTTCTATCGTGAATTAGTGGAGGGGCCGCTTGAAGGATCCCCTACGAGATATGCTCGGTATGTCGGAGGAGGAGTTTCGCCCTACTGGTCTTTGCCAGCGGCAGATTATCTCAGTAACCCTGAGTTTTCGCTTAGCTGGTGATTGGCTCGGAATCGGCTGCTCTCAACGACAAGGCTTTCTTATGGGGCTTGATTGGATTTGCCAGACT